CAGCGAGTGGTCCTTACGTCAAATCCATGAATCTGCAACTTAGAGACAAGGATGTCGTGTGGGACTGTGTCAAAGGCTTTGCACAAGTCCAGGTAGATGATGTCAGTTGCCCTTCCTCTGTCCACCAGCACTGTGGCCCTGTCATAGAAGGCCACCAAATTCGTCAGGCACAATTTTCCCTTGGTAAAGCCGTGTTGGTTGTCACCAATCACCTGCTTGTTTTCCATGTGCCTTAGCATAGATTCCAGGAGGATCTGCTCAGTGATCTTGCCAGGCACAGAGGTGAGACTGACCAGCCTGTAGTTTCCCAGGTCTTCCTTATTGCCTTTTTTAAAAAGGGGGGTTATGTTTCCCCTTTTCCAGTCTGCAGGAACTTCACCAGAGTGCCACGACTTCTCGAATATGATGGATGGTGGTTTGGCAACTTCATCTGCCGGTTCCCTCAAAATCCCAAGGCATTGTTCTAACTTCGCACTATTGATGTACTCACGGGAGTATTTCCCTCTTTGTATGCAGTTTTTTTGCAAATTTGTCATCTGCGTTTCACAAATTAAGGCATAACCGGAAACAAATGCTCTTAAAACAAATACTGAGTCTGATAAAGTTAGGGATTTGTATATACCAAGTCTCCGTTCCCACGTTGTTTTGCATGCTAGTTCAAATGGCTGCTCAGGTCAGAACTGTCCCAGACTTGTTGGCAGAGGTACATCTAATGCATCTTAAGATGCTAAAATCAACAAATAGATACAGCTTTAATTTGAAAGACCTAGAGGTGTGTTCTGAAGAATGCATAAACTCTTGGGAGAAGCTGTTTTCCTCAGCTTCCATGTACTTTTCCGTGTACAGCTTGTCTTTTAATTCTTGGTTTTGATGACATTAATGCATAAAGTAAAATTTTGTGAATGGTCTTCTGGCCTTCCTGCCAATGGAAAATACTTTTTCCTTTTAAAAAGCTGAACAACAAACAAAGAACTTGGACAGTACAAGTTTGTTTGAAAATAGCTTCCCCATGCCCTTTATTGACTAGTTGGAAAGGTTTTCTTCAGCAGTTCTTTCTGTTTAAATCTAAGAAGGTATGTAGGCGACATAATGTAAACCAGCTGGTTTGGAAGAATACCCCAGTGGTAGATATGTCAAAAGGTTACCTCTAGTCAGGTTTCAAATATGTGATGATGAGGGAAATAGATGTATGTGACAGCTAACCAACAGCAGAGGAAAAGCCTTTTGTCTGGATTTCCGCACAGACTCAGCCAAGTGTGCTCCTGGGAGAGCTGCTGGCTGCTCAGCCGGCTCTGGGCAGGCACGTGACTCTCCCGGGGGGCCTGCATTTGTCACCGGTGATCAGAGTTCAGAGGGTCAGGCTTTTCCATAACCTTGTACTTTATCCAGAAAACAGAAAAAATTCCTGAAGAATGTGCATAATAGGAAACCTTCTGTACGAAACAATTTCTGTAGCCCCTCAGAAAGCTCTGGAGTTATAGAGAATGTCCTAGGACAGTTTTCTGCTGTTTCTTTGGTGCTGGGTGTATCAGTGAAAGAAATGCTTTCTGGTTTCCAAAGCCTGTGTAAGGTTAGGTTATAAGTCCAGCAGATGGGACAGATACCAGAGTGCAAGTAATAAAATCCTGGGCTTTTGGCTCACCGCTTAATTTTCTGTGGTTTTGATGATAATTTGACTTCCTGTCCTCTCTGATAAAAAAGAGGAGATGCCCTTCCTATTTTGTAGGTCAGTCCGTGTTGTTACTTGAAATTTAACGCTCTACATCCTTTTCCAGAAGTTAGGGAAAAAAAAAATGCCTGAGATGGGCGTTTTACCACACCTGCTCATGCTCTCAAATCTCAGTTGTCCAGCTGGATGAGCTGAGACCAAAAGGCTGACGTTCTAGCCCAGCTTCTATGTTGTCAGTGTTCAAAACACCTCTTGGCAAAGGTTTAGCTTTAAAATTACTGAAAGCTGCTATTTCAGCTGTTTTCCTAATAATTTATTTTAGAGTAATCTGCTTAAAGGAAGGTGTGTTACAGGGTACCTGTACATCTGTGTGGGGAAGAGGATGGCTTTAAACTGGAAATGTGCATGAAATGAATCTATTTCAGGGATTTATTTTGAGATGCTTGACTGTTAAGACAGACTTAGATCTTATATCTGCACATGATTATTGTGCTCTGCTCCTGCGTGCACAGCTCAGGTTCTCTTAATAGCTGATCAACAGATCATTGTAAAGAATTCCACTATCTTCAACCAATAACTTAAGAAGTCTGATTCTTAATTGAGATAAGTGCTAAGAATTTGATGTGGGGGGAAAAATAAGGGAGGTCAAAAATGAGAGGGGTGGGTAGGACAGTGGTGTAGACTATGCCTTGCAATAGTTAAGAGTTTGGACATTTGATGATACCCTCAGCCTGAAGCTGAGGATCCTCATTATGAAAAATGCTCAGCATGGATTTCATGGAAGCTGTGGAACCTACTTAATTTAGTCTGTTAAAGAGCAATAGTTCTGTTTGTGAGACACGGGCGTTTTGTTTGATTTATAACGCACAGATACATGAACCTCTTGAGGCTTTCTGCATCACAGGAGATACAATTCCTGATGATCAAAGATTCAGCTATCTGTGTGTGTCCACAAACATACTTGAGGCCAACTTTTGTTGAAGACATCTGCTGCATAGATAAAGTAGAAGTAATGCAAATTGCCATCCTGTCACGTCCAGAAAAAACACTCTGCTTGGGCTGTGTGTTGTATCTTCCAGCTTTCAAACATAAAGGAATAGCACTGTAAAACTTGTAATTACGAGAACTTTCACAAAATCTGGATAGAATCTGGATACAAAACTGTAGTTTTGTATAAAAATCTTAGTTTCTGTGCTTTATCTAGCATAGAGATCTACATCTGGAAAATACAACCCGAAATAGCATTGGAGAGGACCAGTCTGTACCTAACAGTACTTTCATAAAACTAGTTAACTGTAATTTTTTTGAAAAAGCAGATCTGCAGTAAAAACAAGAATCCAATCCTGAAGGAGAAAACATATCAAAATAAATAATTAAATTATCTGAACAGATACTGTCCAGCCTAAATTAGTGTCTGTATTGCAAAGTTTTTGTATTTTTTTCATGTTTCATTGTAATGCACATTCAACAAATGCTTGGTGGTTTTTAGAAATAGCAGACTACAGTGTTAGTAAACCCATAATACTCAAGGTGCTGGACTTCCATACCCTCCGTCTAATGTCAGCAAATAGTTAGTTTTATTTTCATGACCTCTGAGGCTCTGTTTCATTTTCTTACAGAGCGCTGAAGGAACCCAAGGAACTGAATTTTATCTTTGGTGTGAACATTGAGCAGCGCGAATTGGATGGCATGTTCATTTACAACTGCAGCCGACTGATAAAGATGTACGAGAAGGTGGGCCCGCAGCTGGAGGGTGGCATGTGAGTTCCTGGAGATTTTTCAGCAATCTTTTTGCTTAAGCCTGTCATGTTCCTACATACAACTTGGGCTCTGCAGTAACCTTGTTCTGCATTGATCATTCTTCACAAGCATGAGGCTTACCCATTTTGTCAGCCTTTAGTTTGGTTTCTGACAAATAAATTATGTTTATTATTACCCAGTATTTCCCTGTATTTTTGGCAGAGAGTTCTCTACACAGATTTTGGTCATACCTGCGGCAGTACGAGGCTTTTGTGCTCAGTGCTGGCATTTGGGGCTGATGAATGCTGGTAGCAATACTGCCTCGTGCTAGGGACAGGGAGAATAGGTCTTGAAAGCAAATACAAATATTTGAACCCACCTTACTTTTTGCATGCTGGCTTGAGTCTGATTTAGAAGGCTGATAAATTAAAACTAGTACTGCTGCAGGAATGGGTGGGTGAGAGTGTGTGTGTCTGTGTGTGTGTAACCTTGTGTATTCAATATTGTTTCTCTGAACAACAGCCTGGTATTTTAATGATGTTTGTGATTTTGTGTCCCTCTTCCAGGGCATGTGGTGGAGTGGTAGGCGTGGTGGATGTGCCCTATTTGGTTCTGGAGCCAACCCATAATAAACAAGACTTCGCTGACGCCAAAGAGTATCGACACTTGCTGAAGGCCATGGGAGACCATTTGGCTCAATATTGGAAGGATGTTGCTATAGGTAATGAAGCTTCACAATTACCAGGGGCTGGAAGGGGAAACTTTAGTGGCTGGAAGGCAGCTAAAGGGGACAGCAGCCAAGAGTGCAGGTGGTGATTTTTGTGGTAATGACTCCACAGTGAGCAAGGGCTTGTTTGTTTTCCAGCCCAGAGAGGCATCATCAAGTTCTGGGATGAATTTGGTTATTTGTCAGCAAACTGGAACCAGCCTCCATCTAGCGAACTGCGCTACAAACGCCGGAGAGCCATGGAGATCCCTACCACAATTCAGTGCGGTGCGTCCAACCAGGCTACAGTTAGGAGGCTGGTCCTCCCTGGGGAAGCGGGGGGAGACTCCTGGCTGCAGTTGGGGAGCAGCTAAATGGGTAGGAGATTTACAATGAGCTTTGCTATCGTTATTGCCTTCTAGGGCTTGTCTCCTTCTGTGAGTTGCCTTTGACTGCACATGATGGCACACTTAGACATCTTGGCATAAGGTTCCTTTCCTGCATAGCTTACGAACTGTAATGTTCTTCAGGTGCCCTTACAAAACGGGGCAGGTGTGGCCAGTAGCAGTGTTGAGAATGGGCTTAGAAATGTCACACAAAATGGAACTGGCCACAGCCACCCATTCCAACGCTAGAATAAGATCTGAAACTTCCCCATAGGCCATGGAAAATGGCCAAGTGATTTGTATTCTGGTGCACTGGCCTGCTAATCTTACTAAGTGTGAGCATAGAAGGGAACCATTTACAGTCAACCTTCAAATTTAATGCAAGTTTTCTTCTGTGCACCTCTAAACAGCTCTGGCTAAACCCTTACTCGAGTAAGGGAGATCTCAACACAAGCACTATGTCTCTTAGTAGAGGGACACCAAACTCCCTTGACCCCATTTTCCCCACAGGGCTTGGGGATGGGGATGTAGCAAGGAGTGTGAGGCCAGTCTTGTGGAATTATTTTGTTGGGCTCTCATGCCTTGATGGTTTTCTCAGTCTTTTCCAAGTTCCTCCTAAAGAGGAGTGGCTTTCCTGACATTCTTCTTATCCTCTGCTGTTGATGTCCTTCTCCTTCCAGAGCCTGATTTAAGAACACTTGCATTTATTTTTTTAAGGTGTTGATTTCCTGGTAGGCCAGCAATGCTCTGAAAGCCAAGTCTGTCTTCCTGGTTCATCTAAAATTTAATAGATTATTATATATGTATATATTTTTTTTTTTTAGTGGATAGATCTCTGACTTGTTTTGGTTTGATATCAGTAAGAGACAGCATGACTCTTGGGATGAGCTGTGATTTCAGGACTGGCTATTCAGTTCGGTTTGTACATGCAGCAGTGAGTGTGAGGTCCTCTAGTAACGACTGATGTCAGGCTTCATCAGATTCTTGTTATGGATGCCTTGTACAAGATTTTAGATTTTTGGTCTTCCTCTAAGCATTTTGTGGACATGAAGCAAGAATTCACTTAGTATATCCTGTGGCTGTCTCACTTTTTTTTTTTTTTTGGCCCCTAGTCTTGGCCACTAGTCTTATTGTCATTGGATAAACTTTGGAAATTGGTGTGGTCCCTGGGCTTTAAATGGGCTTGAGAATTGCTATGGGAAAAAAGATGATTTTGTGGCTCAGACTGTATATTTCTGACTTGCAAAGTGTTTGTCTGACAGATGTATGTCTGAAATGGCGGACTCTCCCATTCCAGCTGAGTTCAGTGGAGAAGAATTACCCTGATAGCTGGGTATGCTCTATGAACCCCGATCCTGAACAAGACAGGTAAGAATCAGTGAATATAGAGACTTTTCTGCAGTGTGCCTTATGTACGCTTTTTTTTTTTGGTGGTCAGCTGTTCTTTGGGAAAAATTGAAGGGATAGGCAGTAATTCTGTACCCTTAAGCTGTGCTCACAGTCTGCGAAAAAGTAGTGATGATGTATTGCAGTGATGATGATTTGCAGTTGACGTGCTAATAGGCATTTGTGCAATACACAAATTGCAGAGTGCACCCTCAGCAGGTTTGTAGATGACACCAAAGAGGGAGGAGCGACTGATATGTCAGAGGGTTGTGCATCTATCCAGATGGACCTGGACAGGCTGGAGAAATGGGCCAACAGAAACCTCATGATGTTCAGCAAGGAGAAGCACGAAGTCCTGCCCCTGGGGAGGAACAACCTCAGGCACCATATATGCTGTTCATCTGGGAGCAGAGAAGGCTCAAGGGTATCTCATCAATGTATATAAATACCTGAAGGCAGGCTGCAAAGAGGACAGAGCCTGGGTCTTCCCAGTGGTGCCCAGTGGCAGGACCAGAGGCAATGGGTTTAAACTGGAACACCGGAGGTTCCCTCAGCACGTCAGGAAGTACTTTTTCCCTCCAAGGGTGACCGAGCACTGGCACAGGTTGACCAGAGAGGTTGTGCAGTCTCCATCCTTGGAGATATTCCAGGACATGGTCCTGGGCAATCAGTTCTGAGTGGCCCTGCCTGAGCAGGGGGTTGGACCAGAGACCTCCAAAGGCCCCTCCAACTGCAGCCATTGATTTGGTGAAATTAGGTTTCTTTATGGTTTTTCTGCAAGGCTACTGATTGTAGTCTTAGTTTATGCATGTTAACTTTAATGTAGGTAGCACAGACAGCAATTGAAGAATAGTCATAAGCTCAGGCTGGGAGCAGTATGTATTCACTGGGGTCTTTGCAGTCGTCTTTATTGCCATCAGGCACACAAACTGCATCAACACCTTTGAGTTGCAGTGAGCGCAAGAATGACATTTTGCACACTTGAGGGAGCAACACATCAATTAATGTACCAGCGCTCTGTTTCAGTTATAAAATTTAGGTAGAATCTAGTCATTTATTTGAATGAGAAAAACAATAGCTCTAGGCTGCTTGTTCTGCTGTGGAAAGAGACACTGCTAGAAGCTGATTCTTGTCTTTGTTGTATGACGAGGGAAGCTGCTCAGCTGTAATTCAGGTGCCTTGGCTCAGTGCTTAAAGACAAAGGGAATTACTCCAAATGGTAACTTTTAATCAGAATAAGAATGTTAACATCTGTGGCTGAAAAAGGTACAAAGAAGTGTTGATGTTGGTATTTGGAAAGTATTGATTTTCTGGATTCTTCCTTTTGGCACTTGTCATTGGAAGAATACCAATGCTAACTTCCCTGTTGCTCCATGTATTTGTGCCCTGGTGTGGAGCTACAAAGACTGTGGTTGTGCTGAGGATGTCCTCTGACTAAACTGCTGAGGTGGGACTGAATCTGCAAGCCCAAGAAGAGGCTGCCGTGCCTCCAGCCCCTGAGGTGGAAGCAGCAGCAAGGCTGGGAATGTGCTGCTGGCAGACACACACGCACGAACATGGATGGACCACACGTGTACGCACATCCAGCCACGCAGATCAACACAGGGGGATGCGTGCAGCACCCACACAGACTGCATGAGCAGCCTCATCCTTTTCCTTCTTGGCTGATCAGGATGAAGGACCACTAGTGGAAATACTCATGTTCATATCTGGCCCCTGGATCCGGTCCCTCTGGTTACTTGCACTGAGATAGATGAGCCCTGAGGCCTGCAGCCCCAAAGGATAAGGTACAGACCTCCTCATGTGGACACAAATAACACATGCACACTACAGACCTCCCATTGTCTCACGCTCTCCATCCCGTAGCGGATCTGGATCCTTGCTCTTCCCAGGTGCCTCCTGCTTAGAGGCACCCACAGCTCAGCCTACACCCCCATACCCATCTCCAGCAGTCAGGCGGGACTCCCCCGTCCCTCTGGTAGCCAGCTCCTGCAGGCTTGCCCTTAGACATCCCCTCCCTTTGCTCCCAGGCCACCTCCTTGCTGACTCATCCAGACGAGCATTTGCTGTGCATGCCTACAGTCACTGCAGCTGGTGGCCCCCAGGCACACAAGCCCCTGCAACTGGTGGTCTCCAGCTGCTGGCACTCAGACCCCCATCCACGTGTGCACACACAGAATAGAGCCCCTCGCACAGAAAAATGGAAATGGATTTAGTACAAAGACAAGTGTGCTGACCAGCGAACTGTTTATGTACAACTGGCCCTTTTTAGCCTTTTATTTCTCTGTTTTCCCATGTTTGTTCCTCCCCAAATCATCTTAATCCCTTCCTTTAACTGCTTTTGGTTCCTCCCATTGGAGAGGATGGTTTGGAGAGCTGCTCCCATGGCTGGACACTGGGACTGAGGCTGCCCTGGGACAGCCCTGGCAGGAGCTCAAACAGAGTATCTCTTCCTCTAAGTACATAATTTGCATTCCCTGAGCTGCCTTTGCGCCTCTGGGCTTGTGGAAATGGGCCTTGGATGGGCTGGTGTCTCCTGGGATGGCCTGGGAGTAGCCAGGGAAGGGTGTTACTCAGGTTCCCCCACCTGCTGTTGTCTTTGTGCTCTTGTGTACATGCAGGTGAGCTTTTTTTGTCAATGGGAACTTGATTTACTAATGAAATAATTTACATTTTGTATTTGCAATACCTCAAAAATTTGGAGGGAGTTGACTGAATTTCATATGAGAACATGTTGGGACGTTGGTTGGAATGAGTTAGAGTGTCTCTGCAGTGTGCACATGCGTGGTATCTTCCCACATCCCCCTTGCAGGGAGGTGGGAAAGGGCAGGTGAGGTACTTTGGACAGGTCATCCAAACTTCTGGTCCTTTCAGCTTCTTTGAAAGGGATCTCCGGAGTCTTACTCTGGGAGGATGAATTAACTCTAGAATATGTTCGGACTGAGTAGACTTACGTGCACGTTGGAACAGTGAGTGCAGTTGTGTCCTTTTGCACAAGCCAGAAGGTTTTCTACAGCAGTTGCAGTAGCACTCGTCTGGCTCGGTTGGTGTCAGTAGAAAGCAGGGCTTCCTTGCAGTCACTGCACTTCTCATCTTCCCTTCCAAGTGCTGTACACTTGCTGTGTCCGTGTGCCATGGGTTTGGACACTTTCACTTCCATGTCTTTACCATGTTCCCCAGCTGTTCCATTCCAGGTATTTGTACTGTCTGAGGGAGGACTGAGGGTTTGGGAAGCATCGCTGTTGGCACCATGGGTGGGGGGCCACAAGCTTGTGCACCGCGAGAGTCTGTGCAGAATCTCATCCAGCCAAGCTGAAGAAGAAGCTCTGTCAAAGCTGGTGTTCAGATTCTTCTGGCATCAGAAGACGACATGGTGGTTTTGACTGCCTCAGCATTGTTTGCCTGCATTGTGTCCACTCTTGGCACTGAGCTGCTCCCTGCCCTTCTGATTTGTCCACCTACACCTCAGTTTCTCCTGGTGGCATGTTGTCCCAGGTCATGGGAGCTGAATGCCCCTCTCCAGCTCTGTCATGTAAAGCAGTCACCACTTCCAATGCCACAGTCTGTGTTGGGGTCAACACTAAGTGGCACCGTTGCTCATTTTGTCACACAGAAGGCACTATATTACACTGCAGTGTCAGGTTTGCTCTCCTCCCTTTTGTTACCTAAAATCTGTTTGGGTCCTGAATGGTGTTTGGTCTCATGGCCGAAACACCAGCTGAAGATGACTCTGGCTCAAAGCTCCTTGAGCATCACTGGAGTCTTGGTGATGAATTGCAGACTGTTCTGACTACAAAAATAATTCCTTTTTTTCTGACTTGCTGCCTCTAGTGATGCAATCTGTGGTTTTGAATGTCATGAGTAGTCTTAATTTTTTTCCTGTTAGCAGAACTAAGGAGCGCTTTCATACTTCCTTGTGCTGTAAGATACATCTTAACAATGTTTTCAGCCTCAGTCCGTGCAGTGGCATTAGGAGATGGCCTTTCTCTGCTGGGAAATGTGCATATAGTACCACTTGTTCAGCTTTCTCTTTGGGAATTGCAGCTTTGGTATCAGGCAGTCATTCTGCAGTGATGATAGATACTTTCTTAGCTGAGGAAGTAATTGCTCTATGAAAAACTCCCCTGTAGTGCTTCAGCTGAGAAGGGGCTGATGGAGAAACTGCAGCTTGTGCTCCTTTCCATGGACAAAGCTGATCACAGTATGTATCTTGCAGACGAGGGGATATCCCATCAGCTGGCAGGTTCAGGATCAGAGATCTTGGAGCTCTCTGTAATCCCCGAGAGCAGGGTCCTCTGTTTATCTTAAGACTCACACTTGCAGGAGGTTTTCAACAGCTCGGCTCCAGGGCAGTGTAGGAGTCAGCTGGGTCCCTTGCGTTGTGCAAGAGTTGTCGTGGTACTGTTGCTTTCCTGTCTCCTGTCATCTCTGGATGACTTTGCCCAGAAGGGGTTTATCCTGGTGTGTGACTGTCCATCACTCAATTCTGTGACAGGAGATGAGCCTGGTAACCCCTCGGTGTCTCTGCTTCCTCTGGCAGTGCTCCTGATGGCCAGATGCTCAGCCAGAAGCTGGAACGTGATGTCAGTCTGCTTTCATGTATTTTCTACCTGCATTTTTGTCCTCTCTCAAAGTCTCTTCCAGGATTCTGCTGAGAGGACCTGAGGGAGTAGGATACTCACCACTGTTCTGTAGGCTGTAAGCTGAACAGGATGGGAAAAGCAGATAGTTACGGGATATTGCAAAGGAAAACTTTGGAGCCTTGGGCAGCAAGGTGAAGTGCATCTTCTGTTGGAAGGCTTGTGTAAAACGGCATCTTAATCACGGGTTACTGGGAGTAAGCTTTCCTTTCTAAATGGAAAGGAAGTCTGTAAAAAGAGGAATTGATATGAAGGTGTAAGTTCATAGGAAGGATCATTGCTGTAAAATCCAGAGTACAGAAACGGCATAGAAAACCAGTTGCAGCTGTTCCTAAGCTTTCTTTAGGTCCTGGGCTCTTGGTAATTCCTAGCCTAAATGGCTTGTTTTTTAACAACTGTGCTTTTGATCCTTAAATCGTATATGTGTTTCCCACGAAGAAAACCACTGTTTTTGAGGTTGCAGCTACTGCAGAAGGGGAAGTGGTTTTATTGCTGCATTTGGGCTGGAATATAGGGACCATGCTGTGTGTGTGAGACAGTGCAGGTTCTGCTGTCGTTGCTGAGGTTGTCTTGCATTCCCTTCATGCTAGATGTGAAGCTGCAGAGCAGAAGCAGAAAGTACCACTGGGAACTCTGAAGAAAGACTTGAAATCACAGGAGGAAAAGCAGAAACAACTGACAGAGAAAATCCGCCAGCAGCAGGAAAAGCTGGAAGCTCTGCAGGTGAATCTGGAGGTCACCAGCCAAGCACAGAAGGTTTGAGGGATCTCCTAGTGCAAGTGGCTGATGCAGAGTCATGTCTGTCTCAGCCTGTAATGCCACTTGTGCTCCTTCATAGGGTAGGGTTTGTTTTAATAACAGAAAACATGCATCTCAGCTTGCTTTTCATTTTCTGCTAGGAAAATGGGGAGTGACTGCTGGTGTTCAGATGAAGGGATATCTCTTGAAGGACACAGAACACACCTTCTAATTGTTGATTTTAAACTGGAAAACTGTTTGCTGGGCTGGGTTCAGGCAGGCCCTGACAGCTTTTAAAGATGGCCTTTCTGATTTTTCCTTTGTGTTTTTTTAATAGAAAACTACTCCAATTCGATCTCAAGCTGACATAAAGAAACTGCCTCTGGAAGCAACCACACGGCCTGCAGGGGAGGTAAATGGAATACTGCAGTAGGCTTTGTACTCTCTGTGCTATCCTTAGCTGCTCTGAAAAGCAGTGCCTGACTCTTCCGTCCTTCCTCTCTCTGTACATTCATTTGTTTCAGAACACCCAGTCACAGACCCGACCTCAGCGCCCGCGATCTCCTCCTTTACCTGATGTAATCAAAAATGCTCCCAGCAGACCACCACCTTCGCCTCTTCCCAAGTCCATCAGTCAGCCAAAAAAGAGCTCGTCAACTTGGCCACATGTCAGCACTCCCAAACTGGCAAGCATGCTCTCCAAGGAGGAGGCCAGCACTTCCAGGACACACCAGCACACTGTGACAGCTGGAAAGTCTAACAGCACTTTAAAAACTCTTGCCAAACCAGGTACCGCAATGAAAACACCCTCTGCTGCCCTGCCGAACCCCAAAAGCTCACACGAGACACCCAGTACAAAAGCTGCCAAGGTGCCAGCACTAAAGAAATCTGCCGTTGTCAAATGCACACAGGTGAGACTCAAGGGGACGAAAACTGTCAGCTCCTGTCCTGTTCTGTTGCATGGGATTTGCACTGTAGTCCCTGCACAGGACAAGATAACTTTTACTCTTGGGCTAGGGTGCCATTCTGCACCCCTCATGAAGACTTGTTTCATCTCTTTCCTGTTAGACCAGGCTGATTCCCCAGAAAAAAAAAAAGAATGTGGAGTGGCAGGGTGAGCGTTTGCATGATCACGTAGCACCTGCTAAAACCTTCTGGAAAGGCTAATTAACTATCAAATGAAATACTGGATACTGAGCATTTTTTTTTCCTAACTTTACTGAAAGGGGGTTTTGGTTGGTAGTATGCTGGAATTATAGCTGAAGTTTTTTTGCTTCCTACAGGCCTCCACCAGTCGGAAGAGGACCTTGAATACCACAGAGGATGGGTCTGAGGAGGAGGGGGAGCACAAGAAGGAGAAGACAAAACGGGGCAAATTTGTGTCAGTGAAAGAAGAGAAAAAGGATTCCAGTGAGGTGGTGGTAGAGGTGAGAGTGCACTGGTTTCCCCAGCAGAAGGTATTTGTCAGGTGTTTATAATCTTGTTGGAAGGCAGCTAATCTGAGCTCTCTCTGCTCACAGCTCACCGACAGTGCTGGGGAAGAAGAGCTGTCAGAAATGAAGAAAGCTCAGAAAGGTGAGAAATGAACCCTTGAACTGCCTCCGGTATTTAACACAGTGGAAAAGAACTGTTGCAGAACTAGACTCACTGGTTAAACGTGTGATTTCATTAATGAGCTTTTTAAATTAAGAATTAGTGTAAATTTGGGTCCCAAACTCCAAGATGACTAACTTGCATGAAACATTTTGGCCAGGAACCCCTTGGTTAGACAAGAGGCAACTGTGGCATGGGAAGATCTGTAATCTGAGGTCTGCGTCACATTAATGGGTGTGATGCTTGGCTGTGTGGTGTAGACTGATGTTTTCTCACCCTTCCTAACTGAATGGATCATGGGGCTTTGCTACCTGGGAAACGCTGAGGACTGTACCTAGACCTGCTGCACTGCTGTGAGAGAAGGGCTGAAAGACCCTCAGGAAAGATGATAGCTAGTATGGTATTGCACCTTCTGCCAGAGTAGGGCATTTCTTCAGCTTGTTCCCAAGGAGCTGTCTGGAAAGTGACCCAGTTTGCATGGCAAACAAATTGTCCTGGTGGCCAACACAAGCCTGGAATGCCCATGTCAAATAGCCTGTAGTACCAGAGAAGTCTTCTGCCTGAAAATGCCATATAATTTTCTTGCATCTTAATGCTTCTAAGAAGGAGTTGAACTGTGTGACAGCTGTGTTTTTATGGTTTACATGCCATTGAAGGAATTATCATAGGTTTAGGTTTTCTCCCTGCTGGGTGTCACTCTCTTCTCTAGAGCTCATGCAGAATGTGCTCTCCAGCATCTGTTTGCAAACATCTTTCCTGTCGTCCTGTTTGCAGATAAAGGGCTGCATGTGGAAGTGCGTGTGAACAAGGAGTGGTTCACAGGCCGTGTCACAGCTGTGGAAATGGGCAAGCATGCAGTACGCTGGAAGGTGAAGTTTGATTATGTTCCTACAGACACCACACCAAGGGATCGCTGGTAACTATCTCTAGCTACTGGTTTTTGAAGGCTTGTTTTGCTTTGAGGAGGAAGACCCCATTTTAATTCCATAGATGCTGAAGACAAATATGTTGCTGCCATGTTAGGGAGCACGTGTGTGTTCAGGACTGTCCAGCTCCTTACAGGAACTGTATGTCCAGGACTGTCCATTCCTTACAGGAATGAGCATGACAGACTCCACAGTCTGCCCATTGCTTTGATGTGGTGTTCCTGTTGTGTAATCTAGAGGTCTCAGAGTGACAACTGGGTACAGGTTCTGATGAAGCTGGTAACAGCATTTCAGATATGGCCAATGTAGAAAAAGATATCTGACTTTCCCTTAAATATCCTTAAATATCTTTTTTTTTTCAGGGTAGAGAAGGGCAGTGAGGATGTGAGGTTGATGAAGCCTCCATCTCCTGAGTACCAGGCTCCAGATACGCAGCAGGAAGAGGAGGTTGTTGTGGCTGAACCTTCTACCTCAGACTGTGTCAGAATTGAGCCAGACACCACTGGTCCCAGCAGCAGCCAAGAAACAGTAGACTTACTAGTCCAGATCCTTCGGTGGGTACACTTCAGTTCTTGTGAGCTGCTGCAATCTAATTGCTTTAATCTTTTAAACTCACAATTCTGGCTTTGTGTTTTTCTTTCCTGCATATAGAAATTGTTTGCGGTACTTCTTACCTCCAAATTTTCCTATCTCCAAGAATGAGCTGAGTTCCATGAGCTCAGAAGGGTTGTTGGCATTTCCTTTGGTGAGTTCAGTATTTCTAGAAAAGTAAGTTTGGGGTTTTCCCCGCACACATTCCATTCCTATGGCAACTGTGCATCGTGCCAAGATCACACTCTTACAAAGGTTATTTGGATCCTTAGCAGGCTAACATAGCTGAGAAAAAGAATGAGAGCCTGTGAAACATGCCTTAGGTCTTTTGACAGTTGTTTGAGGATTTTTTTAATTACCATACGTCAGTGTGGGAAAGATGTTAGCTGCTACTATCCTAACTTCTTGTCTATTTCTGTTAAGCTTTTAAAGAAGAGGGGCCAGGTTAGAGGTTTGTAGAAATAGGACATAGGCATACCTGTTCATTTTGCCCCCAGTCTTGTAAATCTAACTTAGCAGAGGCAATCTTAAAAATGGGAGAGAACAGAGAAGCCAACTTCCTTCACAGTGTTCCAGGGGAGCAGGCTGCCTACCTGTGGGTCAGCTGTACATCTTAAAGCTTTTGGTGTGGCCTCTGTTTATTTGAGCAAGGAATAGATGGGCCTGAGCCTGCACCACTATCTCTCTGCTGATACTGGAAGGTCCAGTGCAGGCTGAAATGCAGAGAAATGGTACTGGATTCTCTGACATACTACAAAGGGACACCTTTTCAGGAGGCATCTGTAGGTGACAAAAGCCACCTACAGATGAACAAATGACAAAAGCCAGTACTTACTTGGTAGTCTTGAAAGTGCCCTGCTCCCTCACTCACAAGGTATGTGTTGGCAGTCTCTCTTGGCTTTTCCTCTTTGTTAATTCACGCATCTGCTTGAGTCACCCGTCGTGCTCCTTCTGCAGGACACATTGGTCTTGTCTGGAGTTTCTTGCAAGTGTAGATGTTCCTACGTCGCAGCAGTAAGCTGTGTTGTCTGGGTGATTATACTAAGGAAGCTCGCTGCCTACAGAGGCTGTCAGATCTTTCTACAGCATACCTGTGGTTTAAGGCTTTTTAAAACATGCTGCATCCTTAATATGTACTCAGGGAGCTTTTGTTGCAATTCTGCTCTTTGAGGAATGTGAAAAACCATGTGATTTTTGTGCTGCCTGCAGTAGGCAAATCAGAAATGTCCATGTGGGAATGGTGATGACCACGGGCAGGACGTGCAGGGGGAGCGGTGTGGGGCTGGTGGTGTTCGGTCACAGCGTGCTGGTAGCTGGATTCTTCTACACGCTGTGAGTGCTGAGGTTTTCTTGACGCCCGGTGCTTCTTCTTAACATGTTGTCTGTTGTGTTTTGTCTTCTACAGAAAGAATATTTCAAACAGTATGAAGTAGGTCTGCAGAACCTGTGCAAATCGTATCAGACACGTGCCGACACCCGGGCCAAAGCCTGTGAAGAAAACCTCCGCAACTCAGAGAGAAGGCTGAGGGAAACAGAGGAGAAACTCCAGAAGCTGAGGACTAACATCGTGGCGCTTCTGCAGAAAGTGCAGGAGGTGGGTGAGGAAGGCGTGTGAAACCAGAGCTGCCCCAGGAGTAACAACCTTCCCCAGACCCAGGCCCCTCCAGGCACCTGAGATGCTTTAGACCAGTGTTTAACTGGTCTGAAAGAGCTTCAGCTCTTTCTCAGTTGGGTGCAACTTGGGCTTAGACCATCAGAAGCGGCTGAGTGCACACCTTTTGGGATGCAGGCTTTGAGGGTCCTGATGAGTGTTAATTTTCCCAGATGGATTTTTCATGGCATGTACGTAGTGCACAGCTTCTGTCTGTTTTCTGCTTTCTGCTATGAAACATGGGTCTGCAGGAGAATTTCTCTGTGTCATAAGCAGTGTTCTGCAGGGAATTTCTGCCCCATTCTTGGGCAGAAAGGTGGTGCAAGATTCTGAACCCCATGTACAGAAATGCAGATATTTAAACAAATAATACTTAATATTAAAAAAGTTATGGTGAAATCTGTTTATTAATTATACTATTAAATATTAAAATTGCAAATGCAGATTTAAATAAAAACTTTAAATTTATAAACTTTAAATTAAAAAACTACTTTAAATAAAATTAAGACCACCCAATGGAAAAGCTGCTGAAAGCAGATGGAAGCAGTTTCTCCCTATTAGGAAAATGTGTATTAAAGCTAAGAAAAAAAAAAATTACCAAAAAACTGACTTAACCCTGATCAGCACAATATATCTATTGCTCAAGTGCATTGTTTGAGAACAAGTGCTGACTCGTTTCCAGGCGTTGTCCATCAGGCTCTGACAAGGAAAGTTGGTGGTGCTTTCACAGCAGATGTCAGCAGCTGGAGAGTGCTGGAAGTCAGGGCATCAAGGCTGACCAGGACAGATGTTGCAGAGGATGCTCTGTCTTGTCTGTTCTTGCACTGTTATTCAAGATTCACTTTTCACTGGTATTTCTTGTGCCTTTGGTTTCAGGACATTGATATTAATACAGATGATGAACTGGATGCGTATATCGAGGACTTGATCACAAAAGGAGATTGAGCAGCCGCAGTACAAGTCCTAGAGGAGTGCAGAGGAGCTGGTTGCTGGGATGGGAGATGTGGATTCCTGCAGTAGAGGACTATGGCAGCTGATGAGGAGAGAGGTTTTTTAGACAGTATTTATGTTGTGTTGGTGTACAGCTTGTGAGTTCACATGAAAAAGACATTTGTGCTGTTGGCAGGAAAATTTTTAACATTGTAGTTCTCTGAATCTCTTCCTTTTGTTTATAAATATTTATTTTTAAAAGAAATAGAAACTGTGCCTGATATGATGGGAGGGTTGCTGTATGTTTTTAGTGGGGTAAAAGAGTGATTACTCTATTTGCATCTGGGGTATGTTCACATGCTAAACCTGGAAGACCAAAACATCCTGCCTAGCAGGTTGTCTCAAGTAAGAACTTGGCAGCAACTTAAAAATAAGCTTTGAGTTACAGAAGAGGACATCAGGACTTAAACTTTGAAGGTGCTGAACTTGAGCTAGAGAAAGCCAAGAGTAGGAATTTGAGGTACACAGAGGGTATCAAAATACAGTCCCTGTGTGAGCATGAGTGGAGGGGTTGAAATCTTGGTGGTTCTGAGGGGGTTGTGGGTAGGGGATTGGCACTTGCAAGTGCAGTGAGTTTCCCAAATATGAAGTGTCCATAAACAGGTGGAGTTGTCACCATGCTAACAGTCAGAGGCTGAGGATCCTTCTGCAAGAGGATGGCCTCCTGGGCTCCTCATAGTGGGTTGTGATCATCAGAGCGAAAAAGCAGGAGTTAAGATTCTCTTCCAGCAGTCACCTTATTGCACACTTTTGCTGCTGTTTCTTTGAGGCATAATTGCAACAGCAGAAGAACTCCTCAACCAGCTGAAAAGAAAGTTGACCCTCTGTTCTGTTGTCACTCCCTGAGGTTTGTGTTGCTTTGATCAACTTGTTGTTCCAGGTAATTTTATTAGGGTGCTGGAATTTGGAGCCTTTGGAGCCCTGCATTGCTGAGTCACATCTGACCCTGGGTCAGCAGCAAGGACAATGCCTTTCCCTCATCCTCCCATCTGTACTACAGCTCCTAGTAAGCCCCTTGTGGCCAAGGTGAATCGGTCTGAGTTTGCTGGCTAGCCAGCTTCTCAAGTCTGCTAGGACAAGATGTCCATGAACTTGGTGCTCAGAAAACTGAAATCCCTTACAGCCTGGCGGTTCAAAGAAACACAGCGTGACTGAGAGGTACCCACCTTCAGGAACATCAAATGAATTGGACCATTTGGGTTCTTTTGACAGCTGAATGTCTAATAGGTGTTTTGCAAAAAAAAATCCAAATTAAACCTGTTGCACAGAAAATCTTAAGCACTAATGGTTTACAGTCCTGGAGAACTCCCAAATTCTATGCATCCCAGGAGAGAGGGAAGACTTTTGCTATTACATGAATTTCAGGTCCTTGTAACACGACACAGTGAGACTGACTGTTTTCATTCCTAGTATAAATGAAGGTAAGGACCATCCCCCTCACCCCCACACACCTTCCTGGACAGAGGGGCAGTGTTCCTTAAATGTAGGAGCAAGGTCGAGCAAGGTCCACCAGTCTTCTCTATTTCCTTACATGTATTGGAGGTTTTGTTAAATTGTGATGGCACACTTGTGCTTCAGATTAAAATGATCCTTCTGTAGAAGCTGAGTTTTATATTAAAGTGAAAGAAGAGATCTCTGTCCTTTCCAGGTGGCCAGCAGAAATTCTGAAGAGCCAGATTTCATTAAAGTACCATTCAGAGATGCTGCTGCTTGCAAGCTTGAATTTATAACACCTGGAGTGTACCAGTGTGGGACAAATAGCTCTTACACATTTCTTGAGCTTCCTGACACAGTTTGATCCCCTACTCACACAAAACGGGGGAGTGCAACATCAACTTACCACCTGAAAAGGTGAAAAGTCCTGTGGAAAAAGAGGAAGACACTCTGAGGAACTAAAGGATCAGTCACTGCCATTGGCCATGTCACTGCAAGAACAAGAAAAGAGTCAGGAAAATAAAAATTGGTCTGAGAGAACAGTAAACATCGTCATCTGTCCCGGGTGAAACAGAAATTGCCAGCTGGCATCTACATTACCAGCTCACAGCGGTGTGGTCTCAGTGGTAGAAAAATGACTGAATTTCAGCCACAATGGAGGAAGACATAAGACCCTGTTCTTTTCTTGGTCCCCTTTTGAGCCCGCTGCTGGGGGTGGTTCAGGTTGTCCCCCCCACCTCTGGGATGGCTGGGTCCCCTTCTGGGATCTGTCCCAGGCACTGGGTACCCTCTGGAGCCATACAAGGAACCTATCGTGAGGGTCTCTGCTGCTGTAGCGCTGATGCAGTGACTTCATGAGCGAGAAGTGTGCGTTACCCTGCAACACTCAATCCTTGGTGCTCCTGCTGTCGGCTCTTGTCGTTCCTGGTTGTGGACAATTCTTTGTAGCAGCTTGAGCTGTGGATATACACATTTGTTGTTTAATCCCGGGCACACTTGCTGGGGGGATTTGGTGGCATTGGTGGCAAGCTGTAGCACAGCAGAGAGGGTCAGAGGAGGAAGCCCCCGTGTCTCGGGAGTGGTGGTGTCACCCCCCCTCCCCCCGGCAG